ACCCCTCACATAGCATTTGTACAATGTTATTTATGTAATGCATCTGATTTACCAGTATTGTCCTCTAAGATTGTCCTTTGCAAGGAAGACATCTTGGAGCCTTGGCTCATTGCTTGGTGTTGTACTATTATATGCAACAAAAATTGGCAACACAGAGTGACTATTGCTAAATGAATAAATTTAATCAAATACAAAATGAATATTGGAGAAAACTGTTAAAAATGATTGTGAAAAATATCTTTACTGCCATTTTTGACATCTCGCATGGTTCAATGGGATCTTGATCATTTTAAGTTATGCCCCTGCTACAATTTATTCTTCTTGTTACGCCTCTTTCTTGCAGTCTGCTGACTGGGACCACTGTTTTTTTTTTTTTGTTTTTTTGTTTTTTGGCTTACCAAAATCTAAATGTCTATATGAAGTCATTAATTTATTGTGATTGTGGTTTTAGGGGATGTCGAGTCTCCCAGACTATGTGTCATTTAAGCCATTTCCTGGCACTCCACTGGAGCACATCTTCAGTGCTGCCGGCGATGACCTGCTGGAGCTTCTGAGGGGGTTATTCACCTATAACCCCTGCTCACGCACCACAGCTATGCAGGTAACATTGACCAGCCGCAGTTAACCAACTTCTAATTCCACCTTTAAAAACTAATCTGCTTTTGAATGAGCATCTGAGTGAATAAATATTCTTATTCCAGGCTTTGAAAATGAAGTATTTCAGCAATAGACCAGGACCAACCCCAGGCCCTCAACTACCCAGACCAAACTCCTCAACAGAAGCCCTGAAAGAGAAAGAAAACCTGCTGATAGGAATCAAGAGGAAACGTGACAGTATTGAACAGGGTAAAGAAACACTTTATAAATAAGACAATATATGATGATAAAATATGATAATTAGTTTTAGCAGTGTTGTTTATATTATATAGTATTCCAAGTCAAGTTATTTTAATTATCTTTATACAATACATATTGTTTCATAAACAGTTCCAAAGGAAAAACAGCAAAATAACAGAATCAATAAAGCAAACTACCATTATGAGGTCCCTTTTACCCCAGGTATTGAAGCATTTCATTCACCGAAGAATGAAAATCCCCTGAGACCTTCGTTCACCATCAGAAGATAAATGAAAATGTTTTAGGGTTCACAGACCACAACACTCCAGAGATGTTCAAAATCGAGAAAAGGATACAAAAACATTCCATGAGACTTGAAGTGTTAAACTGAAATCATGCAAAGCTACATGAACATTTTTGGGGGGCAAAAAACTAGAAATATTATTTATGAAAATATGATCCTGATAACATATAGATGAAATTCCAAAATTTAATCCGCCAGCTGTAGGGCTTCCGGTTAATTGTCATCCCTTGCTAAATCACAGAGTTTAAGATGTAATTTCATTAAAAAGCAGCGATCTTCACTGCCTGGCTGAGATAGGATATTAAGTGGGTATCAGACCAAACAGGAAGCCTTGCATTAAATCATATTTTTTTAAATCATATATGGAAATTAATTTTACCCCAGTATTTTCAATGGAATTTCTGTGCTAGCCTGCTGCCAATGACAGCACCTGTGTTTAAACAGCTGTTTGTCTCTTTATACACTTTAACAACCACATGGATGCTAATGTCTATTTAACTGATTAGATTCATTCGTTTTTTTTTTCGGCTGAGTCCCTTTATTAATCCGGGGTCGCCACAGCAGAATGAACCGCCAACTTATCCAGCACATGTTTTTACGCAGCGGATGCCCTTCCAGCTGCAACCCATCTCTGAGAAATATCCTTACACATTCATTTACACTCATACACTATGGATAATTAAGCCTTCCCAATTCACTTGTACCGCATGTCTTTGGATTGTGGGGGAAACCCGGAGGAAACCCACGCAAACACGGAAAGAACATGCAAACTCCACACAGCAACACCAACTGACCCAGCCGAGGCTTAGACCAGTGACCTTCTTGCTGTAAGGCGCCTAACTGATTATATTTGAATTATATTACAACTTCCATGCTGTAAAAGGAACCTTAAAAATTTGAAAATAGTCGCATAAAGCTCTAACCAGAAGTTTGTTATTGGTTAAATAACACTAACTGTGCATATACCCTATTTTGTATCACACAATGTTTTTTTGTTGTTGTTGTATTTCTAGTGAAATCCAAACGGGGTTGGCCACTTTTTTATTTTATTTTTATTAATAAATATATATTTCAACAATAACATGGTTGAATATGTTCAATCTGCCACAAAAGATCAGCTATTCTCTGCCTATATTTTCATTTGAGTAAAAGAAACATTTGTTTTTTTTGTATTTATTAGATTATCAGATAAAAATCAATACTAATTCTAAAAGTAAACAAGTCCACAGTGCCCTAATAATGTAAACAAATTAGGTAGATAGATTAAATTTCATTAAAAATGGAGAACACAGAATTTTCATTCATTTTCCTTCCGCTTGCTTATTCATCAGGGGTCACCACAGCGGAATCAACCGCCAACTTTCTAGCGTATATTTATGCAGCAGATGCCTTTCAGCCACAACCCACTACTGGGAAATACCCACACAAACTCATTCACACACACTCATACACACACACAGATACACTATGATCAATTTAGTCAATCAGTTCACCTATAGCACATGTGTTTGGATTGTGGGTACACCAGGAGCACCCGGAGGAAACCCATGCCAACGCGATGAGAACATGCAAACTCCACACAGAAATGCCTACTGGTCACGAACCAGCAACTTTCTTGCTGTGAGGTGACAGTACAACCCACTGAGCCAACAAAACGCATAATATAGTACATTAAAACCAATTTAAGAAAATAAATGTTTTTACGGCCCTACAATGTACATAATAGTTAGAGATTTTAATATTTTGATAACCTGGAGTGTTGATAATACAACTCACTCGTCTTGTACATTTACATTATGAGACCATATTGACATTGTGTTGCCATCAGTTGTTATTTACATTTTTCTTTCTTTATTTTTTTTTTTTATGCAATGTAAACGGTTTTTTGAGAACAAGATTAATGAAAGTTGTGTAGATTATAATTTTAAGCTGGTATAATATATAAAGGGAATTTAATTTGCTAGTTCTAATTTTTTTCTTCTTCGTTTCTCAGGTACCCTTAAAAAGAAGCTGGTGTTTTAAGTCATTTGATGCTGACTTCTCCCACTGGTGTCGCCGTGGGGCTGAATGAGCTGTTTAACAGAGTTACAGAATGAACGTATTTATGTGTCATTTAGTTTTTCAATTATTTTTTTATGTAATACAAGAAATTAAATTATGAAAAGAAATCTAGTTTTGTCCATTGTGTCTGTTCACAGGGATATACACATCACACAATATATGCCACTAGTATATGGTTTGATTGTCGTTTTAGCATTTGAATAAAAACAAAAATGAAAACCTTCCTTTACTTTTTAATGCAATTTTATAAATTACAGAAATTTTAACAGCACTCAAGTATTTTAACAGCACTCAAGAACTCAATGCTTTATAGTTTACTATACAGTTTGTTGGATCATTCTAGATCAGGGGTTTCCAAACTTTTCAGCCCATGACCCCCAAAATAACAAAACTAGTGACTTGCGACCCCCACATTCTTCAGAGGTGGTTATAAATAAACAAATGTTGCGCACACAATAATAGGCCTATATAGACACGAACATACAACACAAAAAAGAGCAACATACTAACAACCGTAGGCTATCATTTATGTTGTCATTTATTATTTTGTTTTATTTATTATTAACCTCACCTAATGACACTGGTGGCCACAATGTTTCCAGCACAAGTCTATTCTTTGTTTGATATTGGAGACTTAGAAATCATCCTCAATGTTTACTTGTGGTCTATATTTATTTTTAATGTATTGGATTACTATGAAGGTGTCAGAAAGTTAATCTAACGTAAACTGACAGTCCTATGAAAACAACTGAAAGGCTGATGGCTTTTTTGCATGCTGTTGCTTTTTTAATGTAACTTTTAACTACTATTTTTTTTTAATCTTCTGTGGGTTATGGATAAAATATGGCAATTCTAATAGTTTAATAAAATTAATTGGATGTTTTGGAAATCACTAAGCGACCACTGGTCTAGATGGGTTTGTTCAATCTGTTTTTCATTTTTATTTTTCAGGCTTTATAAAAAAAATTGTGTTTTGAAGTTGCGTGTGTAGCCCCAAGCGAGGCGCTGCTGTCACAGTCCTCTTTCTCCGTTTAGTTTTTTCTGTTATCTGGCCTCATTTCACCAGCACAATGATATGTTGAACTTGAGAGTATAATATTTACAGACACAATTTCAGTAAATAGAGACCATTTAAAACGAATTAGTATTATGTAAATACCTTCCGTAGCAACCTACAGGTAGTTTACTGAACCCAGCTAGTTTGTGCTAAAAACAGATGTTTTCTGCAACCTACTTCACACATGGAGTCACAGAGAAAGAGAGCCATTTGTTTTGCTGTCACTCCCAGCAAACTAGAGACCGATCCAACTACAACACCCACCCATCAACCGATATACAGCATGTAAACAAAACGAGCACAACTGCATTTTTGGAATAATTTAAAACAAGAAGCATCCAAATAGGAAGTAACAAACACAAAATGCATAATATAAACTTATTTCAAAATTCTACCAAAATAATTATATATAATTCGAAAACAAAATGACTTTAAACGGGTTTCATTGTTATGTGGTCAGGGGAAATTCGAAACCCTCACATTAATGACGATAGCGGAAGTGATTTGCAATGACGTTCGATTAGATGTGTAAGCGAAATCAATAGAGAATGTGATTAAACATTAGAGGTCAAGAGAAACCCAACTCGATTTAGATTTGGGATTAATTTCTAGGCCATCATCATCATCATCTCTCCGACTTCCGGACATCTCTGTCTGCTGCGCGCGCAGGTCAATCTGATCTTTTGTGAGAGCGGCGACGCGCGTGCTGGACAGAAGAACGCGAGCGCGCGAGACAACAGCAGGCACGAGCCACAGTCGCTTTATTCAGAATCTCCCCAGCAAAACATTATAACCGGAGCATTTTTTGTAAAGGAGGACTTGTTTCTCTGTCAGCATGTGTACCCCGTGTTGTGTGTCTCAGGTGAGTGATGATGTATTGGCATATATTTACACCACCGTGTCAATATGAATCGTTAACCGCACGGAGATTCTCTGCTTCTCATTTTAAAATGTTTTATGTCATTAACTGTCTTAAGAGAATGCTCATATTGTCTGCATATTTTTTGTTTGTTTGTTTTAGTTTTTGTATTTGGATGAAGTTTAAACGTTCAAGTTGCGCCTTTGTATTGTTTGTAAATGTGTCCGTTTACGTATCCAAACAGATACAACGCTGCTTTTTTTAGTTTGTTCTGTGTCAGTGAACAGCCATAAGTTATGGATAGTAACAGTGATGCGTAATATTTTTATGAACATGCTAATCCTCATCCACATAACCTCTAGCTCGTATTTAACTGGACTAACGTTAGGACTCTTTATTTCAAACCCTTAATGATTATGAGCAGACAATGTGGTGAAAACATAAACCAACCTGGTCACCCAGTCTGATGAAATTTAAGAAGTTTTTGTGACATTTTTCACACGGAATCCAGTTTCTAAGTTTGGAAACAAACATAAAGCACCTAAATCTAGCAAGATATTAGGTTGGTTAAGGGAATTGTTCACCTAAAAATAAAAAATAAAATATATATATACACTTTTATTCATCCTCGGGTAGTTATAAACCTTTAGGGGTTTCTTTTTCTTTCTGCTGAACACTAAAGAAGCTATTTTGAACAAAGCTGAAAACCTGTAACCATTGACTTCCATAGTAGGATAAACAATATCTGCCCAAGTGGCCCTGCAGTGAGTACCACTTGGAAGTCAGCGGTTACAGCTTTGCTCAAAATAGCTTCTTTTGTATTTAACAAAAGAAAGAAACTCAAACAGGTTTGGAACAAGAGGATGATAAAAAGAATTGTAATTTTTGGGCGAACTATCCCTTTAAGGCTTTTTTATTTCCTTTTTTTCAGTCAGATGGTTTATGCAAATTATTTCTCCATTAACCGTGGTTTCAAACCTTATCTTTTTTGGCAGTATTTTTTTATATTGTGCTTCAACAGTCAGGTAATTATATAATTATTGCAGATCATGTTTCATCTTCCTTTTGTTTTTATTTAGCCTTCTTCACACAGCAAATTTGTCCTCGTTTTTTTTTTTTTTTTTTTTTTTTTGCAAAATCATACTTGTTCAAATGAATGGAACTAAAATATATATTGTATGTAAATGTTTACTTTGTCCTTATATATTATCAATGTATGTTTATAAAATGAATAGTCCCTTTTATTCTTGTTTTTCTGTTGTATTTCTTTTACATTGTGTCATCACACACACACACTTTTTTTTTTAAGTTTACAAACTAACATGTGACTCCAAACTGGCTATTCCTTAATAGACTAATTTTTTATTGTTTTCATTTATTATTACTTTAATAATACAAAGGTACTTTTTTCAAGTCAGACAACACTATTAATTTTATGAATTTGCAATTCATGTAGTGTGTTTCTGTGATGATTTTTTTTTTCTTTTCTTTTTTACAAATGAAAGGGTTCAATGCTGGTGAAGGCACTTTTATGAAGTTCTTTGTTCATGTTCTGAAATGGCGAGATGGCAGACACTGAAAACCGTGTGTGTGTGTGTGTGTGTGGTGAGCAAGACTCTGCCATTCATTCACACAACCACAAAGAAGATTTCATATTCACAGACACTAGTTAGCATTAATTCTTTTTTAATTATGTCATCAACACCATGGAAATAATATGGCCTTATGTAGATGATTTAGATATGGAAATTAATTGGATGGCCATATAATTGTCTCCTCCACATTTCCAGTCTACTAATTTCTCAGTGGATCAACTTTGTCTTGTAGTTTGTGGCGTCCACGGGTGGTCTTTTCATTTCCTGGTTAGATCCATGCAGTTGCTTGTTTGCATTAGATTAGCAGTGGAAAGGGAGAGCTTGCAGTCAGTGTTCGGTATCAATAGTGTTGTCTCATTAGCGCTAAGCTTGTCAGGAGCCAGTGGCCCCACAAAAGTGTGGAGTCGGAGGGGGGATTAGCATTGCGTAGTCTCGGTCTTTGTTAAATAACTGCTATCATTAGATAACCCACTTTGTTTTAACTGTTGATCCACTTTGAGGGTTATTTATTCACACTTAACGCCAGCAGCAACCTCAACAGCAGCAGTTTTTTAGCATTTGTAAATTCCAAATTCAAATGACCAACCTCACCAAAAGACTGCACTATGTTCACTGTGGCTGTTTCTCAATAACAAGAACGCAGAGAAAGGACTTGCGTTCTTGTGGAGGCCGGTGTTGCCTGGTGTCTTCGGAAGAACAAACTCTGGAGAGGAGACCACCTGAGAACGCATCCTGTAAGAAATGAGATGTTGCATTCTCCCTGATGGTCACGTGACCTTCACACGTTTTAAATGGAAAATTATTTAAACATTACAGCATTCATTTAACGGGTTTATTGTTTTGACATCAAAAACACATCTGGGAAGTTTCACACGTCCTCTGTTCTTGCGGTCTTGAGTATTAGAACTGAACTTTGGCAGCTGATGATGACGTTACATGAGAACACGAGGAAACAAGACCACTGAAGAACGAATACTGAGAAACAGCTTCTGTCTTTTAGTTTAAATTAACTGTTATCATAGTCTTTTTTTGTCAAAGCAACTGATGTGGTATAACCAGGTGCACACAGATGACAGCAGTTTTTTAGCCTATCATTGAGTCTATATATTATTTACTCATGTAAACGTGTGTAAATATATATTCAGTTCTCAAGTTAATTTCAGTAAAACTATAGAAGAATATGGTAGTATTTTGTTACAATATAGTTTCTAAGTTAATACTTAGTGTTTTTTAGATGCATCATATAAGATATTATATATATATATATATATATATATATATATATATTTGCTTTGTTTATCAAACAAGTGGATCCAAATGGATTTTGCGTTGTAAACCTTAAAAATTTTTTTCATGTTTTTTTATTATATATATATGTATGGTTGTATATAGTGTTAAAAACAGTTTTCCTTTCTGTGCCAATCAGAACAGACATTAAAGTTATAAACAACAATAATTTAGAGTGTGTGAAGATATTTTTAGGAGAGTCGTTTATCCATTTTTGTCTGTCAGTAAATGGGGCACAAAACAACCCATTGACTTGTACAATACTCATTGCAGTGATTAAAGCTGCACATTTAAAGAAAGGAAGTGAAACTAGTGGAGCAACGTGTGACATCTAACTGATAACAGAATATTAACTGTAACAGTTGACAGAATATACACATTTGTTCAATTGTACTTTTTATAGCTTTATTCTTTCTGTTTTATTGTGTGGGTTTTTGGTCAGTTTTCTTTTCAGTTTCATCATGCCTTCTTAAAAGATGCATGCACTTTTTAGGGGGATTTTAACAGACTGGCCCATACACGTTAAAACAAAACTATAACCAGATACACAGCAACAGACAATGACTCTTTTTTTTATTATTATTCTCTTTTATTACAGATGCAATTGTGTCATCTGTCACTTTAAATGCATGATCTCTTAGAATGATCTAATGGTTCCAAAATTCGCCTCTCAATATTGTTACTATAGGCTGTCATGGTTTTAATTGTGGTGTGGTATTCCTTATTTTTATGATTAGATAATTAAAACTTATACTATTCAAGTTTTTATTTCTGCGAAGTATGAGTTGCCAACTCCAAAGTAAAAAATAAAAATAAAATAGATTTGAAAATTTGTGACACGGTGTCTCAGTGGTTAGCATGTCTCCTTAGAGCAAAATGGTCGTTGGTTCAAGTCCCGGCTAGACAAGTTGGCGTTTCTGTGTGGAGTTTCCAAGTTCTCCCCATGTTGGCGTGGGTTTCCTCCGAGTGCTCCAGTTTCCTGCACAGTGCAAACATATGCGCTGTAAGGGAATTGAGTAAACATAATTGGCCGTAGTGTATGAGTGTTTGAATAAGAGTGTATGGATGTTTCCCAGTACTGGGTTGAAGCTGAAAGGGCATCCGCTGTGTTAAACATATGCTGGATAAGTTGGTGGTTCATTCCGCTGTGGCGACCACTGATGAATAAAGGGACTAACTAAGCTGAATGAAAATAAGCGAATGAATGATTTGAAAATGGATTTGTTGTTCTTTAAGTTTGTATGTACTTTGTACTTTTTGGGATGGTTTTAGTTTGTTGTTTTCTGCATTTGTGTCGCTTTGGATAAGGGTGATTGCTAAATGAATGTATAAATCATGGAAAGAAAGTTATATGAATATAAAATGGCCAAAGCCTGAGATGATTCATGTAAAGAAGCAGACAATCTTGATGTTTTGTGTCATGTTATGTCTGATAAGCTTCTCAGTTGTTGTCATAGAGGGAGGTGTTATTCTGTGATTTCTCCTTCAGATGTCTGTGCTTGAGTCATGCATGTCTTTGCTGTGAATCAGTCATAATGATGCATTCTTATAAAAGAGTTTTATTGCCCACTAATATAACAGCGTGAAAGCATATCTGAATGACTGTTGCAGCACTATTTATAAGGAAAGGTCATTATCTCAGACTGCCTGTTAGTAATTAATTTAATGACACGCTGTTCTTGATTAAGCCTCAAAGTAACCTTGTTTTCTCTGTCCCACATGAAATCTGCAGTGCTTGTGCAGTTTCTCCAGAATTCTGTTCGGTTTTGACAGATTAATGTTCTTTCATGTAAGTGGTTGGAGATGTCACCATGATATGTCAAAACACCACATCCCTTATTGACCATATACTTCATATACAAACGGATGCAGCCATTGAATTCTTTTTGGCCCAAGACTTCTGGTCTCATTCACTTGTATTGATTTTTAGACTTTATAAACAGCTCGTTATGCTGCTTGATTTTGCAAGCTTTTATTTTCTTATTATATTATTCTACTTATTATGTATGCTCATAAACGCTCTAGTTTGTAGAGCAAGCAGTTTCACCACTTTCTGCCATTTATTATTCCTAGTCATTTTCCCACATTGGCAACTGAATCTGAGGTTCTAAAACAACCGCC